TTGACACGCTAACCACTCGGCTACACCGCCACGAGTACCCTTGAGTCACAGGGCATAAGTGAATTTCAAGCAAGGTCAGGTCTCTTTGCTATATCATATTATTTGGTGGGAGTGCCGATGAAGCAAGCGTATATTTGCCATAGCAATCGACTACGTTACTTATTTTCGTATGAGAGTAGGGTTTCGAGACTACCATAAATCAGTATAATGAGATGTATTCACCCTATTTCGTCTAAGGTGATGAAGGACTGGTGGTAGAATTTTCCCACAATGATATAAGTTGAGCCAATTAATGGAAACGTCAGCTCAACTCATATCATTGTGGGAAAATTCTACTACCAGTTCTTCATCACCTTAGACGAAATAGGGTGAATACATTTCAGTATACTGATTTACTGGTAGTCTCAAAACCCTACTCTCATACGAAAATAAGCAACGTAGTCGATTGCTATAGCAAATATACGTCTTCTTCATCGGCACTCCCACCAAAGAATATGATATAGCAAAGAGGCCTGACCTTCCTTGAAATTCACTTATGCCCTGTGACTCAAGGGTACGTGTGGCAGTGCAGCAGAGTGGTTAGCGTGTCAAGCTTCCATCCTGCACTGTCGCGGTTCGACTCCCGCTGAGGGTATTGATAAGACCGATGCGAGGTCGAAACTGCAGTCCACCCTGGATGAGAACAACTTTTGGGAAAGAATGGCTATGTGAAATTTAACGGAAACGTCAGCTCAACTCATATCATTGTGGGTAAATTCTACTACTAGTCCTTCATCACCTTAGACGAAATAGGGTGAATACATCTCATTATACTGATTTACTGGTAGTCTCGAAACCCTACTCTCATACATGAATGAAAACTTGACTCACCATGTGCCGCTTAAGGTAAAGAAGCTATTAGAGACTAACTGGCTGAATTAAAGTCAATCACTATATGTTAATGCAACCAGGGCGGCTAACTCAATTGTTACAACATTTTCGTACTATTGCATTGACTTGGGTCGTCCTTATCGTCCGAACTTGGGTTATACCTTGTCATTTACTATAGTGACATATTAATCTGTCACAAATCCAATTGGGAATTAGGTTTAAAAGAATTCCTTGATATTTATGTCACTGGAATTTTAATTTCTATAAAATTTAGAAGGAATTCATCGTATGCTGGCCACACTTTAATCTGGAGGATGTTTGTCTTATTCCTATGTTTGTAAATTAGGGCAAGAATAGGAAACCTGGTGTATCAGTGACTAATTCTTGCATTTTCAGCTATAACCGACTCCATAGAAGCGATAAAGTATTCTTTAACGAAAATTCACTTTATTTCTTAAGTAGAAAAGGTTTAAGTTATGAACTCAAGATCGACATGCTTCTTCGATTTTCATTAAACTGTAAATTTGGTTAATCTAGAAAATTTGGTTATTGAGCCCTACTTGAGTTAACTCTATGATGCTTAAAAGTTTTTATTCTAGCCAAACTTGGTTTCACATTTCATTCGCATCTCGATACATTTTGTTAAAATAACCTTAAAAATATAATCTTTCATCTTCAATTTATTTCTCTTTCAGAACCTTATGATCGAGTCTCTCCCAGTTTGGCCATAAAGCTGCTTGAAAGGCTTCGCGAAAATGACAGGCGTAGGCAGACATTTGTCCAAGCACTCAAAAAGGATGAGCGTGAGCGACGCAAGCACATGGAGGATGTGATCCGTCAGCTCAAAGAGCTAAATACTAAGAGCTTTTCTCGCTAGTCTTCTTGCCGTATACTTTTTCCTTTAAGAAGGAGTATGTGTATGTACGTTTTTCTGAAGAATGGGGCGAATGATACGCTGGATTTTTACTTCTCGCTGTCTTAAATCTGTTATGGTACAGTATAAAGCTACTTTTTAAGTCACCTTGCCCATGGGAGCATAGCTTGGTTCAGAAATTTGGCCATTCTTCTCATAGTTTTAGTATTGCTTTAATTTAACTCTCCAATTTCCTTGTCCGCTAGGCCATTCAAATCTTACATATTGAGTATCTTCCATCTCTGTTATCAACTTACTCTTCCCCCCTTCGCATACACTTCAAGTTCCAAATTGTTGGACTCTTCCCTCCATTTTTTGCACTTATCCAATTCTAGGTCAATTGACATGCCTTACTTTTCATCTGATCTCAATGCGCACGTTCATATTTGCCAATCACATTGTGTATATACTCCTTTTCCCAGTTATGGTCTTACTATGGTTCTGATTGCCTTGGTGTTATCCTTTTTCTACCTCAGTGTTTATCTACCGCTCCTCTGAATCCGGTGGTTATGAGTCTACTACCTATTTCATCATGATTCGATCTCTTAATTATTCCGATTGAACCTCTACACTCCCTCACAAACATACTTGGTATGTTCGCGCATAAATGAGTTTTTATCACACTTATTTATCTAATTTTATTATTTACTATTTTTGTAAACATCGCATTTTGCAAATCCCCAGTTTGCATGTTCTTTTTGCCTTATTACTGGTATCTTTAGGCTAATTGCTTGCAATTTCGGTTAATTCAATTATTTTTAGCTATGCTTAAATCATTACATTGGATACTCGCTTATATTTCCATGATGTTCTCCTCAGTAAGTTATGCTGGCACACAGGCCATCTGGCCG